AAGATTTGGAGAGTGGGAGAAAATATTTGAGAGGAAATGGTGTGTATGGCCGGATTTTTGATGTGGGAAAAAGGAGAGGAGAAAAAAAATGAGGCTTATCCTATGATGGTTCCTTTTATAGGCAACTTGGAAATAATTTTTTTTAACATCACATCAACTCCTTCAATCAACCAAATTTTGGTTCAATTCTCCCCTTTCTTGGCCGGTTATGGAAGGAGAAAATGAGAAGCAAAATTGTCATTAATTCCCCTTCAACCACTACCATCACATCACACCATAACTTGTAACCTTTTATCACACTCAACTAGCCAAATTTTGGCTCTATTTCTACTATACATGGCCGGCCAAGTGGAGAATGAGAGAGAGAAAAATAAATCCTACCCCTTGTACTTTAGTCCACTCTCTTAAGTTACCTTTGAATCAGGTAAAAATCATACTGACTGTAAAGGGTACTTAGCTGACAGGAAATTCTTGTTTCTGACAGTTCTTTTTTTTTTCTACTACTTATTTACAGTTCAACTTTTAAATCCTCATCTGCTTTGATATCACGTTAAATTCTTACTCGCGTAATATCTTAAACTGTTTCAAGTCTTGAAATTAATTCTAGACTGAATAAATTCTAAATTTAACTTTTCTGCATTATATCCCGGGAATGACATTATTTCTGACGGTGTCAACTCCTTAGCTCACATTGTACCCTTCTACTATAGGTATCTATCTTGTGACTTTAACCTAGCTGTCTGGCAATTAAGGATTTTCTCTTCTTTAAAAATGTCAGTGCGTTTTTTTTACGCTGCTAACATCATGCTGTGTTTGGAGATTCTTGAAATTAAGATTCTCAAACTATACTTGTACTGAAAATTATTCTGCCTTAAAGTATGGCAAGAATTTATCGATCGAATTTACTTGATCGAAAACATGAACTTAACATGAAATCTGCTACAGAATTTAGGAATACATATATTGATTCCATAAATCCTTCAGTCACATAATAATTTCTAGGAAAATCCTTGGCTTAAATAAATAAATTGTATTATTTAAAGTCTGAAATTTTCTCAGTCATTACAGAAACAATAAACGACAGCATGAGCAAAAAACAAAAAAAAAAAAACAAGAAAAAAAAAGGAAAAAAAGGAAAAAAGGGAGAAGTGACAATAGTGACCATTGACCAATACAAACTTCAAATATGTCTCTACGAAATCTAATTTCATATGGTCTTTGTAATATGAAAAATGATCTAAGAAAAAAGTATTTCTAAATGACCCGTTAAAATAATAATACTTAAATACATCTCTATTTAAACAATTTTATTTTACACAACCATTTCAATTGTTATTTCCTTTTTGAATGAAACTTCCTAAAAAATCGTTCTCTTTTTTGGATGAAACTTCCTCAAAAGAGGAGAACATTATTAAAGAAAGAAAAGAGTAAAAAACAAAGAACAGAAACTCAATCTCTATACATCAAAAATCAAGATAATCAGGATAAGAAATTCACCACATCCTATCCCTGTTCATTATCCTAAGATTGGCCAATTTGTCAGTGCAACAATTAGCTTCCCTATATGCATGAAAAAACCTAAAAACCATTTTCTGAGACAACTATATAGCCCGATTCCACTCATTCCTCATTTTTCAAGGCACATCCATAGAATCTGTTTTAAGAAGCAAAATGGCCAAAAAAGAATCACTTTCAAGCCAAAACTTACGCCAACCATTCTCATAATCAATAAAAATGGCATTGATAATAGCTCAAATCTCCGCTTCAAAAGCAAAACACTCTCTTCAAGAAAAATACTAAAACAACCACACACAAAGCCTCAAAAATTCCTGAAAAATCCCCTTAAGCAACTAGACAGATTTGGGTTAACATGCATGATGCAACTTTTGAAGAACTAGTTTATCCTCATAAGAGTTTAAAGAAACCCCCAGATTAAAATAACTAGAACCCTTCAAAGAGCTAAAAATGAGAACCAAAGCAGAATGAAAGGATGGATTGAAATTCTCATGACGAGCTTTGTTCCTGAAATCCCAAATCACCCAACAACGAGTAACACAACCAAGCAACCAGTAATTCTTGATCTGCGGACTGAGGGAATCTGAAAGAATAGAAGCCACAAAATCAGCAACACCATTTTTCAGATTGATCTTTCTTTTTAAAGACAGCCCCAATCCACTTCCAAAGATATTTAGCAGCGAGCATTTTAAAAAGAGATGAGTTATGGACTCCTCATAAAAACCACAATACTACAACAAGAAGCCATACTAATCCCTCTCTTTATCAATTTTTTGTTAGATCTCCACATCATAATCCCTCTTTGTGAATTAATCTACATAATGATTTGTAACAACCGCCAGTTTCTAGATTTATTCCAAATCAGAAAACAACGGAATTGTAACCTTCAGAAATAAGAGACCAACAATGAGGAAAAGCCTCTTTTGGAGCCATTAGAGACTTCCCACTGACCATTCAATGAGTTTTTTTTATGCTGAAAACATTCTCTTGATAAAACTAACAAACGCATTTTTAAAAATGATTTCTGTCTGAGATTGAAAACGTTTTCATTTTCATTTTCATACAAAAAATAAAATTATTTTGAAACTAGTTCCAAACGCGCCCCTAGTTTCTTCACTGAGAATGAAAGAATTCAAAAACCTTAAAATGAACTGTCGTCGATTGCCATATGCCACATTATTTAACAGTTGATGGAATATTCCAGAAGAAAGCATATATAATCTGATCTGAGCTTGGCAATTCTCATTTTCCAATTTCCATTAGGAAGCCTTCATCTGCCAAATGCGTGTGCATCCTGCAAACAATAGCAAAAGGTAACATTCTATATGGGAACCAGATGAGTACCGTAGAACAGCTACATATAAAAATAAAATAACAATTCATTGTACAATTCATAAAATAGATCAAAAATAGATAAGCCCACAAGAAGCTTTGGACAATTTTCCAGTATTAATTTCTTATTGACCATTCGTTTCATTCGAGCATGTTTTCAAACGTCAGCGATTCTAGCGATCTGAATGAAGGACAAGTACCGCAATGAAACTCATCACCTACTGACACCACACTATCTAATCCATCAATTGTAAGATCTCTGATATCTGCCCAAGTGGCGGTAAAAACCAACAATTTTTGCAGTTTCTTAGGCAAAATGATACCAAATTAGAGAATGAATCCGAGAATGTTATACCTCTGTAAGACTCAAATTCAAGATCTCTCAAGTTCGTATGAGGTCGAAGCGCATCGAGTACGTACTTGTCTTTCTTCTTGTGAACTCTCATCATCAGCAACGGCATCAGCCTTCCATCTGATCAGACTTAGTTCTGTAAGGCACCTCTTATCCTTCAAATTAGCCTCCAATGCCTCCATTGCGTTAACAACGTTTTCAATCCCTGAAATTTTAAGCTTTCCATGCAAATGTTGAAGCTCTTTCAACTCATTAATTCTTAACGCACTCTGCTTGTCTCCCAAAACCATCTTCTGTAAAGTTCGCTAGCCTTTCATGCTGCTAATCTGCAGTGGCATCTCTTCTAAAGGTAGACCTTTAACGTCCAGATGTCGCAAATTGATTAAGCTTCCTTGGCAATCGAGTAAGATGCCGACATGTATTGTCCGGAAATTTCATTAGTATAAATCCCGATAATTATCGGGATTAAGATAATGAATTTTTCGTTAATTCGTATATTTTGATAATACGAAATTTTATGCTAACTAAGGTAAATTATTTGATGACAATTAATTTCAAAGTGTTACGTTTATTCTCAAATGTGAGTTTCAGTGACAGAAATTCTCGGATAAAATATTTCATAAATTTCAAAACATAAGTAAAATTATTGGAGACCGATAACCAAAGACCGCAAATTCCCGCTGAGACGGGATACATAATAAGAAATCGGAATATTTATTACTCCGTAATATTAGAAGTTTAAATTTAGAAAGAATGTTAATGAAACAGATAAAATTTAGTTATAACAGTATAAAAAAAATAACAGTCCATCAACAGTTATAACAGTACAAAAACTAATCCAACAATAGTTCATTAAAACAACAGTTTTTACCGGTATGGTAAAGTAGCAGTCCTATACCATAAAAGTTCTCTAAATTATTTAATTTACAAATGTGTTTTTAGCAAATTTTGTAATTATATTATAAAGAAAATTTCATTTTAAAGTTATACAAACCCCTGCAATTTAGTTGTAAGATCATTTCTTCATTGATGAAGAGAATACAACAAAAGAAACTACAAACACTAAGGTAAAAGAAAGCCAAACAACAATGAAATATTTAAGAAGCAAAGCAAAAGCAGTAGAAGAAACAAGTATGAGAAGACAGTAGCAACATACCTAAGCACCAGTATCCATAATTTCAAGAGTCAGAGCTGTTCACCGATTCAATTCCAACCAACTTCAGAAATAACTCGCCGATTATTGTACTTTCAGCTCTCAACAGGCCCAGTAGTCAAGAAAGTTATTGAAGATATGCAGATTTGAGATAACTGTTTTTTTTTTTTTTTTTAATGAAGAAAAAATATAAAGCGAGCAAGTTGGTTGTAACTTGTATTATTGACGTTAGTGCGTTACAGGCAGTGGATCCAATAATTTTAGGATGGATTAAAGGTACAATACTGCACAACCTCATCCAATAATTTTTACTATAAAAATAGTAAAAGGATGAGAGACAAGATGTCACCAATAATTTTTTTTTTTTTTTTTTTTATGTCATCTAATCGGTTATCCATCCAAAAATTCAAAGTAGAATCCTACGACGAAAATAAGCACCCAATAAAAATATATTCAAAGGAAAAACGCCGTCACAATAAAAACGACAACCGAACGAAGGCTGAAAGAAGTGAACCACAGAAAGTGGTGAAAACGAACCACAACAAAAAAAACGTTAACAATATGGAAAACGACGCTCAATATTCAAACGATAACAAAAATGATAGACAGACGCAAATGTTACATTGAAAAACGACAATATTCGTAGAAAGGACAATCAGCATCTGTAAAGCTACTTAATTCATCGTGACCCACCAGTTTACCAGCGAGAAAAACGCGGCCAGAGTGAACGGAAAAACGACAACGAAGTAAAAGTAAAAAAATAAATAAAATCCACAAACGAAGGATATAGAAAAAGATGAAGCAAAGGGCAACCAAAAGAAAATGAGGATAAAGTGTAAACGACAATCACTATAAAATAGAATGAGTATGACGGCCAAAGCGTACAATAATAACCCACGACAGCAATAAATGATGAATAATATATAATAATATAAAACTGACAACCATCATAAAACGACAACCACAAGATAAACGACAACAGCCGAAAAATGACAAAAGTAAGTAACAACAAAATAAACTGACAATACATTGCCAACAACAAAATGAAAAACGGCAATCATTATAAAACGATAACAATACTAAACGACAATACATAGATAACAACATCAAGTACAACACAAAAAAATAATAAATAAAACCTACCATAACCATGTAAAGATAACAAAGCTGAAAAAAATAAAAAATAAAACAACTACAAAGCTAAAAACGACAACCGAGACACGAAAAGGTGAACAAGACGACCCAAACACGGAAAATGGAAAATCATTCCAAAAACAGAAAAAGGGAAAAATGGAAAGGGCAATTACTATGAAACTGGCAAAAATGTACAAAGGACAACAATGAATGATAAAAAAACGACAAAGTTACACGAAAATAAAAAGCTATAATAAAAACGACAAGTAAATGAAAAAGAACCAAATAACCTTGACGACAACCAAGTGAGAAACGACGATAATAGACAAACAACGACGAAATGGAAATCTAGATTCAAGAGTAAAACGATCAATGATAAAGAAGAGATGACACCACAAGAAGGTGAAATATAGAGAACTCTGATTAAACAACGATCCACCAAATGAAAAATTGCCGTAAGAGTAACCAACCAAATGAACAATAATAGTTCGTTGTTGTGTTAAAATAATCCGATGAGAATCCTTTTATCCACCTAAACATTTTTTATGAAAAATCTTTTGTGTACCCATAAGGATTTATCTTGATAGACACAAAAAAATATGCACCGTGGTGGGACTCGTGTGGGCCCTATAAGTAGGGCCCACTTTTGTATCTATGAGGATAAAGACATTGTGGTTAGGGGTGCTATTTTTTTTTTATAGAAAAATAATGTCCACTTTGATTGAGATAGATAATAATATTAGAATGCAGATGATGTAGTTTATTGCAGAAAGTGGAGGAAATCGATCTAAAAATCACTAAGAGATTGTTAGTTAAGACTGAATTATAAAAGCATGGTTTTATAAGAGATTTTGTGGATTAATAATAATACATTGCTTATTGTAATTTAGCAGAGGACATTACAAGGCCACATTTTTTTTTTTTTTTTTAGTTTAATGTTCCCTTGAGGTTGTTGCATTGTACTTTTTCACCTTGTATTTTGCTTATTGTGATCACATTACCGGTGCTTCTGATTCCTTCTATGGCGCAGTTTCGTTTGTTCTGCCTAATGAAACTCAAAAGGTTCAAAAATCAGATGAGGCTCGAAGCAAAGTAACATATAAATTCATAATACTCGTTTCGTGTGAAAAACTTGGATAGACTATGAATGTAGAAAACTGAGATTCCGAAACTCGAATTGAAAGATAGAGAACAAGTTTCGGATTAATTTGGATGATGAACTTGAACAAGATTTAAATAGATTTAGCATCCTTGATGATTCCCTCCCAGTAAGCATCATCCCATTGGTCCTTGTATCGAATATCTCGCATTTCGTATATGTTATTGAGACTCTCTTCGTACATCTTGTACTTCCACTCCTCAATTGGTGGCAATCCTAGCTGAGCACATAGCCAATTTTGGTATCCAATCTGTCATGATATTCATCACACATGAGTCCTTGTGCATATATAGTCGCATATATTTATATCTGTTTAGATCAATCTAGAGTAAGAGAAATATTATGGACATGAAAATACTATACATAGTTTCAGCTCATATAAGTATGATTAAGTATGTGTTGTTCAAAGGATTGTAATTTATAACATGTTACATGTGTTGCCCCAAGTATCAAACCTTGGAGTTGTGGCTAATAACAAGTAATAAGAACTAAAGCCACTCTAGGATCACATTCTTTTAAGGTGGTCAGGACAAACCTTCATTTGTGCCATGCAAAGCCAAGTATATACAGGTAGAGATACAAGAAAATCAGATGCCGGAAATTGGGGGGTATTTTGAAAAAAGTAATGAAATATTATGTGGACAAAGTACCTGAAATAAAAGGAAATGCGTGGAGCGTTTTGGCAGTCCATTCTCCTCCATCTTCTTATAGAACTCTTCGGTAGAAGCCATCATTTCTTCCTCGCTTGGCAGCATCAATTTACCGGATAAAACACGCGCAATCCACTTGGATTGTAACTCCATTGTGTCGAAGAGTAGACCCTGATTTCAAAAATAAGAAGATTTCTTTTTTTGTAAATTGCAAAAAGCTGCTGAGGGGTAATGTTGCTAAACCATGAGTTGTGTCACTCCTGATGATGCATCACCATAAGCGTGTCAACTTTATTTTGAGGCAACTTGCGACGTAAGGGGTAATTACGCGCATTAAATGGTTATGTTCGATTTTGAGTATGATCAGGACCATAAGGTGAAGTTAATATTTGACTTCTAATATCAAACAGAGACACTCATCTTGCCCAAAGTACTACATTGAATCAAGTTTTCCTTGCAAGTATGAGGAGAGTTGAGTTTTACTATCCAACCTTTATAGGTATACCAATGAAAGACAACCATGGAGCTAAGCTTGGAGGAAAGACATGATTGTACAATGGTCCAACGCGATTTTCTTCGACAGTAACGATTCCATTTGTTTCGAGAAATGGATAATGGTATTTGAACCTATGAACGCCACAACAAATTCAAAACTGAAAAATATTTTGCAAGTTAGAAGTATTAATTAATTATTTGGAGCTTACCCAGTACAGTGGAGAATGGTATCAGCACAAACTGAGAATCCATCTTGAAAAGCAACTGTACCATCTTCATAAACACGTTCTATCTGTAAATCAAGATGGATTAATGTTAAATCATAATATCATTTGGCTTAAATAATGGTGATTAGTGATATATAATGTGTGTGTATATGTATGTATCTATATACCATCATATGGTGCCATATATTCTTGTGGTTTTCCACCCTTCCTAGTTTGACTCCCGGTTTCCTTATGGCTAAATGAACTTCTTTGGCTTCACTTGAAATATCTCTTGAGATGTCAAAAGCGCTAGCTCCATATCCTATTATAACCACAACCTGATAAAGTGGGAAGTTGTTTAGTACAAGAAAAATAAAAAAAATTATTGCAAAAGGTGAACCTGTACTTAAATATAAACCAATCAATTTGTGACAATTTAAGGCAATACGTGTGATTACTCACTTGGCCACGGAATTGTTCAGGGATGCGATAATTGTGACTATGAATTTGATATCCTGGCCACTTCTCTATACCTGAGTCAAAATATGTACGCAAAAACAAACATAAAAATCGTTAGGGGAAAACAAAAAAAAAAGTAATAATTTTACTGAAGTTACTTTGCTATTATTTTTCACTTTCATAAAATTACTTGTGTAAAGGAAATGAATATCTGAAAACATACTAAAGCCCTGTTTGTTTATAAGTTTGAATTACAGGTTAAATTTTTTTTGCTAAAGTATTTTCTCTAATAAATTTAAATTTATGTTTAAATTTACAAACTAAACGGTCATTATTATTATTTTTTTTTGTATTCGTTTTTGTTTTCTAAACTTACGTACTTGACATATATTTTCATAAAGATACTAGAATACAATTTCAAAAACGTATCCTACGTTACTAAGTCAAAGTCAAAATCAAAAATCATATACCGTCAAAGTCAAAGTTATATAATAAGATATAGATCTAATTTATTTTGTCGATTTAAATTTTTAATTTAAATTAAAATGTGATATTTTTTAAAAATTTTTTATTATAACAAAAAAAAATTAAATGTGATATTTTTTAAAAACTTTTTTCTGTAAAAATTTAAAATTAAAAATTCAAATCAGTAAAATAAACGAGCCATAATACATGACTCAAAAGCTTTGGAGAAAGTCAACCAAGACAGCACCTTCAACCGCAGCGATCTCCGGCTCCACGAAGTTCCCGCTACAAACGACCACAGCCTCGAACACCTCTCTACTCACCGAGTCACTTCTCCCAGTCCTCGACTCAACCACCCACTCGTCCTTCCTCGTACCAACTCGCGCGACTCGGACGACCTCCGTGTCGACCCGGACCAACTCAGCTAGTCCAAAATCCCTCACGAACCGGTCCAAGAACCGAAGTACCTCCTCGTGACCCGGGAAGCTTCTCGGATCCCCGCCTTCCCGCTTCAAAAAGGGGTAGTCCGAGAAGCTCATAAGCTGTCTAGGAAGATTGGTCCGCAGGTTTCGGTAGAGACTTCCGTGGATAATCTCTCGGGCCGGATCAATGCTTAATGGGTCTGATTCGACCCGTGGGTCGTAGGCCCGCGTGCCGCCGATCCGGTCACGTTTTTCGAAGACGACGACGCGATGGCCCTCTCGTTGAAGCTCGCGGGCCGCGCAGAGCCCGGATACGCCCGATCCGATCACCGCCACTCTGACGACCCAGCCCATTTTAATAGCTTCTGGTTGTAAGATTTAAGAAGGAATTGTGGTTGGGAGTTAAATTTATATTATCAAGTCTTGTTTCTCTCCGTTAGATTTTTATTATAATAATAGTTTTATTGTTTTAAAAGTATGAGTACCTGGTTTTTGAATTTTTTAACTACAGCTTCTAGTTTTTCAGTTTTGCACGTGGTTTCGGTAATAATATCATAATTATTATATTATTTTTATTATTATATTATTATATTCTATTTTTAATAATATTATTATATTCCATATCAAAATATAATAATAATTTTATTGTTTTATATTATATATAATATTAATTATATATTATATTGTAATTATATATAGTATATTATAATATAATTGTAATTTTTAATTATATTATAACTGAAATATTATTATTTATATTAATCTTATAATATATTTTATAATATTATAATTATATTACATTTTACATATTATATTAATTATATTGATATATAAAATATTAGTGTTATATGTAATAGAAGAGTAATTTTGTCAACGTAAAAATATTAATATTTTATTTCATAGTATTCTTAAAATTACCGTTAAATAAATGAATCAATTTTCTCTTTTTCATTCTATTATTTTTAATATTTTCATTATCATTCCACCACTATAACTAAACGCAACCTAAGTGTTCATTCCACTTTCTTTATCTTTGTTGATAACCTCTATATCCTGTACGTATCATATTTGACAGTCCTATTCTTCTTTTGGTTTTTTTTTATTATTTATTTTATGAATTCAGACATTCAACACTTGTCAATGGAATTACTTCTATTTATTCATGCCTCAAATAAGGCCAGTTTCCATTCCTTTATTTACCAACTACATGATTTGTGATTACTCTTGTTATCAAAATGATCCAATTTCTAACTACTAAACAAATTTGTTAGGATGAATGCAACAACTTTGTTTTTGTTCCTGTCATAAGTGTTTGATTAAACTCACGTCGTAGAATTTTGTCACCAGCGATTTTGATGAAAACGTCATTCTATGAGCCTCATTGAATTCTTTTTTTGGGAATGGACTTCCAAATATATTCTGTAATGACTGAGAAAATTCCAGACCTTAAATAATATAATTCATGTATTTTTAAGCCAAAGATTTTCTTAGAAAATATTATGTTATATTGTGAATGGAGGATTTATGGAATTAATATATGTATTCCTAAATTCTATAGCAAATTTCATGTTAAGTTCATGTTTCGATCAAGTAAATTCGATCAATAAATTCTCGC